CCTGTTGGATATTCCAATAAACTCTCATAAACCATCTGATATAAACTCTGGATTATGTTTCTTTGGGGGTTGGAAAACCTGGACTTTTCTTTACTTGCATGAACTTATGTGTAAATTGAAGATGTGCCCTGGATTGCAGATTATCAGGCATTCTTAGTATAGTATTCTTATATTGCAATGGTGAAGTATTGCCATAAAAGCAACTTTAAGAAGTTATTTTATCTTTCTGAGGAGAACTTGCTACTGGCCACTGTTTGGAGGGGAATAATGAACTAAAAGGACCATTGATTTAACCCATCTTGGTAGTCACAGGTGTGTCTACATGAGCACTTTAATGCACAGTAGCATATTCTACTGCGCATTAAAGCATCATATCAAAAACAGTGTAATAGGTTAATGTGAAGTAGAATTAGTCTACTGCACATTAAACATCACTAAAAAGGCATTTGCTTTTGCTACTCCGCATTAGGGCAGCCTAATGCACCTTTATCTAGTACCTCATATTAGCAGTATTAAACTTAATGCTCAGTAGCAAAAGTGCAGTAATGAACATGTAGATGTGCCCACAATGGACCAGATTCTCAAAAGTGTACTCATCCTGGATAGTACTTTTTACTGTTTCAGTGGGATCACTTGTTGCTATTACTTGTTAGTTGCTACTCATTCTAAATTAGCATCTCAGAAGTTGGCCCTCTTCCTAAAATGATTTTATCCCTTCTTTTTCCGTACTGTAAGTGAATCAAGGAGCATTAGTGAAGCCCAAAAATAAATCCAGACCTCCTCTCTGTCATGCTAGTAAGTTCAAGACCATCCCATCCCATCTGTCAAAGGAATTTGTCATTCTTCTCTACCTTTGCCCATGTTCAAATGGACATTGCCATCCTCCCCTTTCTATAGTGTCCAACAATAAGAAGATACAATAGCGCTATTTCTGAGTTTTAATAAGATTCAGGAAGCATTCATGTGGGTGATTAAATCACTGGAAAGAAGTAAGCTAAATCAAGTTTTGGCATTTCATGGATGTGTGCATGAGGAACATGGACCCAAAATTCCAGAGTCTAGTTCATCTGTCTGATGCACAAGTAGACTTTGGTGTGATTCTTTCCCACAGTGCTGAAGTTCCTGCAAACCCATTAATGCACCTATTTTTGTAACAGCTTCCATTGTACCTTACAACTGAGTCATAAAAAAGCAGTGAGAAGGAGGACCTGCTTACCTTTTACATCAACAGTTTTACAGGGACTCAAGCAGGTTGGAACAGTATCTGACTTTAACACACTGAACACATGTACTGTAAACCCAGATTGCAAAGATAGTATAACTAAAACAAGACTTCAAAAGTATCATGAGCACTAGTTCTGTTGGCATGTATGCTTCAGTACTAAAATAGCAAGTACTTTTAGAACATGCTCAATTGTATATATAATATTTAGAATCTTTTAAACACATAATGCCATTCTTTAAGTAATAGGTCCCAGTCTGAAGTTTCAGGGATTTATTGATATTGGCAAAAATATTTGCTCATAACTTTGGGAAGTTCATGACATACCTTGCATCACAAGGGATTTAATTCATTTTTCCATTTTTTTCCAGACACCATCAATAAATTCATTCAGAGCTCTTAATCTACTGAGCTAGAATGTAGTTAAAAGGCTGTTGGAAATTCTCAACACAGTGTTCTAAGAAAGCAAAAATATGAAGAAAGAGGCCTGTTGTATTATTTGTTTTGTTCTCTTCCATATGCATCTAAATAAATGTAATAGAGTCCAGAGGGATTTCTTTTTAGGTCTGCAGTGGAAAGCAAAAGCTGAACATACATGCACAAACAAAGCTGTAACAGATTTACCAGTTCTTCACAAAAATGTGGCAAACCAAGCTGCTACCTAATTTTAAAACAAGCTACTGGTGCTGGAAACATCGTGTGTCACTAAAATACTTGGAGAGTTAAGATCTGAGAAGGAGTGTTCTTAGTTTAAGACACTGCTCTGCTAGTAAACAGCCTGCATAAATACCATTGAAGGTTCCACGTTTCTTGTCTCTGTGTGAATCCAGAATCAATATTCTACACTGCATAATTAAAAGTTTATTTGTTATCTGTTAGCCCTGCAAACTCTCCCTGGTATTGACTCATTAAGGTGGGCTCTATCCTTTTTCAGCGATAATACAGATCCTTCAGACCCATTTTATGACTCTAGTTACTCCTATGGAACTGCAGTGTGTATAGATTATGCCCCCAGTGATTATGCTGCATACCCTTTGGTAGGCTTTTCAAATGTGTTCAACTGTGGCCTGGCTGCTCTGTTTGCACTGAAGTAAAGCAGAGATCACAGTGAGAGTAGAGTGTGTCTAGTACTAAATGTTTTTCTAAAAGTCCTGTCTTTCAGCTTCAGTGAGTTTGTGGTGATGTAAATGCTTGAAAACTAGTAAGCTTTTCTGTTGATGATATACCAGGAGGGGAAAAAGGACTGGGTTCTTGTTTTTTAGCCGTGTTGGTTCTGCAGCTAGTAAAATATATATTGGGCCACTAATTTGGACAGATATGGCTTAGAATAGGTCTGTGGAGCAAAAAGTTAGTGTTTTTACTTAATCGTGTTTCAAAATACATCTAACTCCCAATACAAAGGGCATCAGGAGCTAAAATGCAAAAGAGATCTGAGTAAAAACAAGCATTTGGCAATGTTGAGGCAAATATTTAACTGTTTCTTGCAGTGGTAGGGTTCTAGATCAAGGGAAAGCATTGGTTTCTGTAGCAAAGGGAACAAGGGAAAAGGCCTGTGTGCCTTAAAACCAATCTCTTTTTACATAGAAAAAAGGAATATAACATATATCTCGCTACTCCTGTATTTTCCTAGCAAAGGATTTGGTTTGGAACTGGAGGAAACATTTGTCTTTCCACTTTCAGAAGCTAGTCCAACTCAAACTAGCTTCCCAAGATGATGGCTGACATAATCTAGGGCAGAGAGAAACACTTTTGCCCGTAACATCAAACCAGTAACAAGGTGAAAAACAAAATCCATTTTTGACGCTTTCGCTTTGGGCTCAGTTCTTACATTTCCACTGTCCATAACTTTGGCTTTGTTTCTTCTGTTCATATTTTTCCACATCACAACCATTGTACCAGGAACACACCGGCTTCAGCTCCTGCTCTGCTCAAATTTACCTTTGTGCATTTCTGACCTTTGCTCCTGATTACTACATTTATTTTTCCAGCACTTCTGTAAGTCCCAACTATAGACTCTAACATGTAGATAACGCCATTGTACATTTTCTTATTAGTTTTTAACATTATCCCTACAACATCCTTGCCTATCTTTCTAAATACCTCTGGTGGCTTTCCAGCTATTACAAGATTCAATTACAAATGAATCACCATGGTCCAGTTTCAGATCCACTAAATCAGTAGAGCTCCCTTGACCTCAGTGGATGCTAGACAGTTCATAACAGTTGGGTGTCTTCCCCCTTACTTTCTACTGGCTGCACTGAATCACTCAGTAGAAAGTCTAAGTGAGGCTCCAGCAGTATATAATCTTGGTTTGATGTTCTGCACTGGAATGAATACCATAACTAAGTAAAGGCATGAAGTAACTATACCTTGTTTTATTTAATATTTTAAATGTCAAGTTTAACTTAGGTTATTCATGCCACTTCAGGAAACCCCAGGGAGAGAAAAAAACTGGAAGTCTAAAAAATTCAAAGACTTACAAATATCCTTAACTTTGTGCACTTTGACTAATCCCATTGAAATCAGACTACCTACATGGAAATAAGTGAGATTACTCACGGTACATAAAATTAAGTATGCGCATAGGTCTTATATGATACGGGCACTACATTTTAAATTGGATACGTGTTTGTTTAATATGGTGGTTCAGTTCAGCTCAATGATCTGACTTATTTGCAATGGCAAGTCAGCAGAGACCGTCCACCGTGGCAACAAGAAGTATTCAGTTACCTCTGTATTGTAGTAGTTCCTCAATCAGTATACATACACAGATATGCATACATATCAATACGGAAGATAGTGTGTAAAAGAAGACATACAGATTTCAGAAGTGGCCAGTGAGTTTAAGTGTTTTAATTTTTATGGATCCTAATATCAACTTTAAAGGGGCTTGAACTTCATGGACTGTTTTTTCATGCCCACACACACACACACACGCACGCACGCACGCACGCACACACACACACACAAAGAGTGGTCAGTACTTTCCACAAAAAGGTCTGCATACTTTTTTAGTTGACTTATGCAAAAGTTGTTCTAAAACAAGGAGAAAAAAAAGGAGTGAGTTATATGAGTGCCGGTGACATACAGCTTTACATGTAAAATATTTAAGTCAAACAAAATAGCATCCAAAATAGAGATGCAATCACATTTTCTTGGATGTGGGCTTTGAATTACATCTCCATCCTACAAACCTAGACTATGAAATGTGCTTCAGTTTTCCCCTCTTAGTGATTCTTTCTTTCCTCCAGCATTATCATGAACATGGTGTTTTATTCTAAATCAACCCTCAAAGTCCCAGAAGCTAGGAGTTTCATTACGTTCACAGATCTGTCCCCAAATATTGAAAGAACAAAATTGTCAACGTCACCATTTTTCATGGTTATTCTTAAATTTCTTAAAGTATACCCTCTAAAAACAAGTGTAGAGAACAGGCATTGGAGGAAGGTGATATCTTGTGATTGTTGTGCTTGTTCTCTTTAAATCAGTGTAGTTCTCCTGGGGTGGCTGAAGCTATGTCACTTTATACCAGTTGAGGTTCCCACCTAATGACTGGTGTTGGTATGGTATAAAAGAGTGTGGGTCTGTTTATGGCATGACTCTTAGTGATAGAAGGACAGCCATGTACAACATAGCATACACCATAAAAATCAAGTTAAGTCTCAAAACGTGCTAAGAAGAGCATTTTATTGACTCAGCAGTGGGAGACAACGTGTAAAAAATAACAGTGTTTCTCTTTTTTATGTTTTTTTCTTTATTTCTTTGTCAAATAACATAGCGCAAGGAGGAGGTAGCTGCCTTACCTCCCAAAGAGGAAAAGAATACCTGAAGGGAGAGGGAACTTACACACCAGCTAAATGAAAAAGGGCACTTTTCCCCTCAGAGAGACGAAGAAGAAATTGCACATCAGAAATGTAAGTGTTCTCCACTGACCTGTGACTCCTGTCTAGTTGTAGTGAATGTGAGCGACTGAAATACGCATCTGTCTTTCTTATTGCGAGAGGTAAGAGGAGTTGCCGACTGCCCTGAAGGGAAAGGTACGGTTGTGCCTGATGCTGAAAAGCAGGAGAGTGCAGTGTGATAAGGAGAGGTTATTGTGAACCTGCGGTGGGCTGTGATTCTTCCTGTGAATGAGGAATCTGACAGAGAGAAAAAAGGTACAGAAAACTGTCAAACGAAACTTCGTAGGTCTAGGTTCATCTCTCCTGGGAAATCAGAAAGGGATGGAAGAAAGGTTTCTCACCTTCCTCCAACTCTTTTTCTCTATGCTTGTTTCTGGTGAATGACATATTTTAAGGAATTTAAAAATAATTGTGAAAAATAAGGATGACACTGATTGTTTTGCTCTTTCAGCATTTGGGGCCAGATCTGCAAGCGTACTGAGGCTCCTAGCTCCTGGGAATTTGATGAGCTGGGCTCCTGTGCCCTCGCCTTTAGGATCCTTTTTGTGGTGTACAATAATCTGAAGAAATGCAGTATTAATTTCAATACCTGGGAAATTCAAGCACTGAATTGTCCCCAGTGGTGCTGGGGATTGATCATTTTGAGTAAACTTGCCCGACTATGGAGGCAGATAGATGAGAGACAAAGTGAAAAGATTGTAACCTAACATCACCAGGATCTACTCCTTCCTCCTGGAACTATTTGCCACAGCTGCAGTCAAACATGAAGATCTCAGATTGGTTTTTTCAGTCATGTATGGATTCATGATGACTCTCATTTTTACTGGAAGACTTTCATCCTCATACCAAAGGACTGGTATTCATGTATAACAATCATGACATGCAGTTGGAATCCAAGGTGCCTTATGGAAACCTTGCAGAATATAAAAAAAAAAAAACCCTATTGTTTTCCTCCTTTCTTATCTACTTTGTGTTAACATGACCTGTACTGTCAACAGTGAAGAGAAACTTGATGTCTTTTTTGGGGGGATAAACCCCCAACCAGACAGAAATTAAACCCCAAAAGCTAGTGAAGGATAGGCTGTTGATACCATGTAATGGAAAGAAAACCTATTTCTGATAAAATCTTCAAACACGGATTTTTTATAAATGCTATTTCTACTTTAACTTTCTCTTCAGAGGAGATATGCTACTTTATAAGCAGTGTAGCTACTGATGTTACATAATGAAAGACAATTGGTGTCAAATCAACCTAAACATACTATAAAAATGGAAGAGAAATATTTCTTTTTGTCTTTATTTTGAAATCTATCAGTCTTTACATGTATGTGTATTGTATTGTGGTGTATGTGTATGTGTGTGTGGGTGAGACAAAGAAAATGTATATGATACATTATAGATACAATCCATCGTCATATGGATTTTGATATCTACTCCATAAATTCTTTTATTTCTGCAGCTGCTTGATCCATATAATAATCTACATTAATTTTGTATACCTGACAATCTCTCCTGTACTCTGCAGACTAAACCATTTTCACCATGGCTACTTCTCACGTTCCTAAACCCTTAAGTAACCTTCATACAGATTCCATTTAAAAGAAGGAACTCCTTCCCCATCCAACTTTGACTTGTTTCCTTTCAAGCATGGCAGGAACAAACATTAGGTAAATAGAGGGACCAATATCCAGATCCAGCTAGATTTATTCTTGTACAAGAGAAAGCTTAATGGTAGGAACCTGAGTTAAAATAATTTCAGTGGTACAAGGCGATGCCTTCTTCACTTGTGCAATATACAACTTGTTTTTGCCACTAGTCCTGCATAGAGCTGTCTTCTCCATGGCCACACATGCCTGAGAAATATATATCCTCCATACTTTGTTCACAAGAGCTTGATCCTTCCAGAAAGGGATAACAGGAAATGGTGTTGGCTAAGGGTTCAGGGAAAAACATTTTTAGGTTCTCCTAGTAGCACAAGAGCTGAGGCTAAGGCCCGAGGAGATGCACGTGTGTTCAGAAGAGATACATCCAGTTGTCTAATGGGAGAGGAATAAAACTGCCAGCTTCTAGGATAAAGAGCTTGAGCTAGGATATCTAACTGCCATGAACTGAGGAAAGTATACAGGAATGAAGGCTTTGATTGCACAAAACACCGACTCATGCATTTTGAAACTACATTTGTGATACTGGCAAAACACATCTCTAGAAGTCAACAAAAATTGTAGATATTAAGGAAGTCTGAAGAAAGTTTGGCTACCATTTCCTATGTGGGAATAAAGTATTCAAGGCATTCAGATATTCAAGGGTAAAAATCTGTCCCATTTTCTATTAAGAGTTGAATTAGTATGGGCACGTTGGAAATATACATATTGCTGAAGCCAGAATAAATATAAATCATGTTTGTCTTTTGTGCTACTGTATCTGTTATTAAAAAGTCTGTGACACAAATGTTAAAAAGATTTACTTTTCTGTGGGACACTTAAATGTGCTTACTTGCCTGGGCTGAAATGCCTGTGGCTGTGGGCAAAGTTATATCTTTTTGTGCAATTTAGGTGAATGCATGTTTGCAGTTCTTCACCATACGTTGCATATTTTCCACATGGCTGTTTTACCAAAAATCATCTCATATTATATATGTCCTTGATGTTCAGTGAAAAAAGTGTTGTGCTTGTGCAAAAAAAGGAGAATAATACACAACATTATTGCTGTGTGGTAGGAAGCCAAGGCAACATTTTTAACCTTGGGTGTTTAAAATGAGGCATATGAAAGGACCTGATTTCCCAGTGCATTTGACTACTTTCTGCTCCTGCTGGCTTTGGTGGTATTCAACACCTTTAATTTAAATAAAGACACATTTGCCTAATTATGACTGTTAAACTTAGGAAAAACATTGGCTATGCTTCTCAATTTTTATTTCTTTTCTCACTTTTTCTTTCTCACATGTACACACCCAGACACAACATTAGCAAAGAAAAATGAAGATGTTTAGGTGCAACATTCACTTTTGGTTCGGTTGCTTTGTAAATACAGCATTGAGAAAGTAAGCTTCGGAAAGAATATTATAGACATAGACATACACAAGATATCCCTACCATCGCTTTTGGTCTGACTCCACATCACTCAAAGTATATATCACCCAGCTTGTGCAGAATGGTATGAGGCCTGAGGGAAAAGCAGCTAAAGTGTAACAAGCTATTAGTAAACTGCATGGCTTTCAACCTAGTACAACAGGATAGAATAAATATGGATTAGTGCTAAAGTCGAAGTTTTTATTATGTGAGGTTCTCTGTGTGCAAGACGGGGGTGGGGGAGGGTCAGAGGGGGCAGAGAGTTTCTGAGATAAAGAAAATACTAACCCAAAAACATATTTTTGTCAAGCCCCTTTAATCTTATGCTCAGCTCATTTTTAAGCCTGTGCATTATAATTGTTAACAATATAATCACCTTATAAACTTCTGGAGTGACTAAAGGCATGTCTATGCTTTTGGCAAATCATATATGGTAGTTGTTTTAGCAACAGTGATATTTAAAGCAGACACACTATTTGCAAGGCTTTGAGACATAAATGATTCCTTTCTATATGGGCTATCAACATTCCAGAAGTCTCACTATGCAGCTGCTAGTGGTAAGAAGGCACTTATCCACTGGACAGCACACATATGGCCATGCATAGAACAATAGGAACTTGCTATTTCTATTGTTCTACTCATGACCATATGTGTGCATTAGAAACAGCAATAAAATATGACACTGCTTTTTGAAAATTTCATATTGCTCTGATATGATAAAAGTTATTTATTCCCCTAGCTATCTGTAGGAGGTGGTTAGTGGGAACTCCCTTGTGCCAGTGTTTAGGGAATGTCATTACTGGCAATTATTAAAAAGCAGTAGACACGGGGCTCAGTTCTGCTCCCCTTAAGTTCTATGTGACAACTACTCTTCCATGGAGGTAGAATTGGGCCCATACAGTTGGGCAGTCAGGTTTCTAGTCTATAATCTTGATGGGAGGGTCTGATCCAATGTCCGCTGAGGCTACAGGAAAAATTCCTATTGATGTTGGTGAGCTTTGGATTTCACACATATTCCCAGACCGTTACAACTTATTATGGAGGCAGGGTCATTAAGATTTCAATTGTTAGGATTTCAAAGGTGACTTATTTGTAAAGTAATACTTGGTCATTTAAACACACTTGTGCGCTGCTGGTATAGAAATTGGCTTGCTTTTAGGGCTGTGCGAAACAGCACCATTTCCTTTTGACTTGTTTTCACCATTTCAAAGGGACGTGTTTCATTTTGAGTTTCATTTAATTTTGAAGCACTGTTTTGTTTCGTTTCATCGAAACTGTTTTGCTGTTTCAACATGTTTTGACATTTTGCCCATAGGCTATAATGGGGAATAACAAAAATGCCTATAACTTTGACATTTCTTGCCTAATTCAAATGAAAACAGCAGGTAGGGTAGCCCCTGCTGATGCCACAAAACCTGTGAAATTTCAAGAAGATAGGTGCAGCGGTTTCTGGGAAACTGCACCTCAAGGTGCTGACAAGCAAAACTCAGGTTGTGTGACTTTGTGTGTATGTTAAGGTGCAGTGGAGTGAAAACTGCAGGGATGGTAGCCCCTGCTGAGGCCATGAAGCCTGCCAAATTTCAAGGAGATAAGCACAGGGGTTTCTGGTAAACTGCACCTCAAACTGTTCAGAGCAAAACTTGTGTCACTTGTAAGTGTGAAGGCAGAGAGAACGCTCAGTTCAAACAATGCTTTTTATGCTGTTTTCCATCCCTCCCCCAGAGCACTGGGATTGGAAGGGACCTCCGGGAAGGATCACAGTCACTGGTCAGCTACACAGTCAATGTCAGCAGTCCTTCCCCCTTCTTCCCCTTCCCTCTCCTTAATTTCTGTTTCACTGCAGGCAAGCCCAGCTTCAGCTTTGAAACATTTCAGCTGCCCTCGTTTCATTTCAAGGCTGTTTCAAAGCCCTTCACTTTGTTTTGATTTTGCTGTTTCGAGCTCAAAATGAGTTGAAACAGCATTGAAATGAAACACCTGGCAAAATTTCGCAATGCCCTACTTGCTTTAACCATGCTAACCCAAAGGGTAGGTGTCTCAAGTAAACTTTTGTCTTTTTGAAGTCACAAGCTATTAGCAGCAGCTTGTCAGACATTAGGGCACAGAATAATCAATTTGGGGCTTTCTTTAATAAGGGTTTCAGAAGTCCTACCTTACAGAGATAATGAGAACTGGGAGGAATCAAGGATATTGCGTACTATTAAGGTCTTTGGGGCAGCATCACCTGTTTTTTCTATGTCTAGCACCACAGGGTATGCATATTGCATATTCTTATATTGTATATCTCCATGCTATGCACATAAGAATAAATAATAATAAAATAGAGAGGGTTTTGATAAATATGCAGCATGTCCTCAGGGGTAATGCTTGTCATGTACTAGAAGGATTGCAAAGCTGCTATCTTTTCCAGGAAGACATTATTTCCAGCCAGTAAATGTGAAATTCTTGAGTATTATTTCGCTGCATATCAACACGGTGTAACATTCATATTTATTGCATGACATTGACTCATTCCACAGTAAATAAAGCTTGGGGACAGAGTGTGAGATCATGCTATTGTAGAGGTGATCACCATATAAAAGGGACATCCCCATACCTAATAATATTAATTAAAATCACACTTATGCCTTAAAATCTTTTCTCCCCACCCTCATTACAATCCATAGCTAAAATGGCTAGAACTGAAAAAAAAGATTAAAGTGGGGAAATGGCTTAGCCAGATTATCAACTGGTGTAAATCAGCATAATTCTATGGACTCCAACTGCACTCAGCCGCCTTGAATTTGTGGGGAACCTGGACTGAGCACTTAAATACGTAAAGGCAATGTTTAGCTTTTGATATTTTTTCTTGTTTAAAATTTGAATTTTTTTTTTGACAATTTGTAGATTTCCATACACGGCAAAATATTACCATTTAGCTTATTGCTTGTTGACAAAAAGAACAGAAGTATGCCATGAGTATAATATAATTTACAAACCAAATCTAATACAATTTACAAATTCCTAATCAGAAAAAATTCCAGTAACTTTCACAACACAGTGGTATAATGTATATGCATATCTCTCACCTGTGGCAAGAAAAGATCTTTCCATTCAAATTCTTTTCTTTTTTACTTTGTAGTAATGAAGGCAAAGCATTCAAGACAAACCTTCAAAATGTTTTGCATTCTTGAAATATTTCCAAACTGGATTTTCCACTGAGAATTCTTCCACTTTTTTTCAAATAGCCATTGCCAATTTGCCTAGCATTCTGCAAGCTGTATGTTACATTCCATTACACTTAATTTATTTGTTTAATTGAATCATTTATACATTACTTAAGAAGGGACCTGGTACCATTAGCTCATATCCATTATACTGACATTGTCATTTGCTTATTCATTCTGCCATCTCAGTTTGAGGATAAAATCTACTTACTCTCCACATACTCCAAAACACCTTACCCACATTTTTTTTTGTTTCTACACTAATCAGCTTACAAATGTTGCTTCATTCATCTCACAGTTTGATAACTAAATTTAGAATGGTTCTCTCTTGGCTACTTGTTTTTTTGATAAAACAGATTTCCCAAAAATCACATTTCATTCAGTTTCCTTTCAGTTGTAGTCCTCTGAAATAAACTTCTTACTCACCAAAATATCACTTTCATACAACTCATTAGAAACAAGTTTATATACTGGGAGTAACCCTAACATACCTGCTGGCTCTTCAGCTTCAAATATTACCATGTATTTCCAGGACTTCCCATTCTGCTCGCATTACAGACAAAAGGAGCTTTGCCATACACTGAATAAGGCCAGAATGAGACCATATGTTTCATGTTAAACAAGCCTCATCTTCCTATTGTTAATCCTTATCTCCAAAGTAAAGTATTTTTGCAGAAAGCATATTCCCATAGTAGCCTTCTGTTTCCAATGGCCAGCTGGATGCCAGTTTGTTATTTGCACAGCAGTAGGCTACTTTCATGTATTTCTCTTCCATTCCAGGAACGCCATTTGTACATTGTCCAACTTGGAAATGTTAATCTGACACCATTGGTCATGGGCCTTTTAACTTGACGTGGCAAACAGCCAACTATCTGCCAGGCGAGTATTTACACTGGAATGTTTCTGAGCCCAGAAATAAACTATTTATTCACTATAATCATCAACAACATTCCTATAATTTCTATGACACACATGTACGAAGGTACAGCCTTCTACACAGAGCTGCTGGCTTTCCCATAACCTGTGTAAGTAGCTCCTCAGGGAGATGCTGCTTGTCTTGAGCCAGGATGAATGGATCTCTTTCCCCTTCGATACATGCACATAACTTACGTTTACATTCATAGGAATTACGCATGCATGCTGAAGGAGGACAATAGGTATCCAAGCTAGGATG